GGTTCAGTAACGAGAGGAAACCCGGGCCAGAGTTCCTGGAGCTCGACTGGGAAGACTGGGCACATCTCCATCCAAATACCTTGACACATAGCTCACTCACCCATCACACACGCGGCTTGTCTCTTCTTGTCTTCTGTTTTCCTTCGCGATTTTAAACGTGTTATTTACAGGCTGTTATGAAGCAAGAGTGCCGACGCACAAGGCTAACAAGGGGCTGGTTAACAGGGTTGGGACTTAGGTCTTTGTTATTGTTGGCTCTGAATAGTGTTATTAGTTGAATAATTCCAGTGAATTGGCTTCTTTGCCCTTTCATTTCTACACTCCTCCCCTTCTAGTCTTGCCAGGCTTCAGGTTTTTTAAAAGTTTTGTTTGTTTGTTTGTTTTATGAGAGAGAGTCAGCCATACAAACAAAGACTCCCAGCAGGGTCCTGTCAGGCCACAGTTATCTTCCTTCTCTTGCATTTCAGGTAAGCACGCACACATACCGGGTGTGATTTTCAAGCTGCTAGGTCCGGAGTTCAAACCACAGTTGGCCACATGAGAGTCCAGTGCCTTAACCACCATACCACCTGCTTGCCCCAAATTAATGTAATTTTAAATAAGTATCTTATCATTTAATTGGCTCCCTGCAGCCCCCACCCGGCCAGGATCACAGTGCATCCGTAGGTATGCCTGCAATGTTCAAGTCGACCTAGGAACTGAACCCAGGGCCTTCTCATAAGGCCATACCATTGTATAGCTCTAATACCATGTGGCAACACCTGCACCACTATGGCTGGACTGCCCCATTTTTAATTTTTATTTTTTAATAAAGCTGGGCCTTTGTTAGAAATTCGCAGTTATTCTTAAAAGATAACGCTTGCTCTATCCCCAAAACCTGCCTCTTGATTCAGCTCTGGCTATGCACAGAGGTGCTAGCCTTCAACTTCAGTGTCATGGACCTGATCCAGTGTCTTTGTTTCCAAGAAAATATCAGGTGATTGCCCCTTAGTCAGAGAGCTAGGAGCCGTCCTGTTCAGGTGTGCCGCCAGCCAGCAATTGGGGACCAGCATGGAGTCCCCAGGTAAGCCAAGCGCTGGTCACCACAGCTGGAAAAGCCGTGCCAGGGAGCCTGCTGGTCAGAAGCAGCCTGTTGGAGAGTGGGTCCGTTGCAGTTCATACTGAGTTGCTTTCACACTGATTAGCTTTGACCGTGGTGCAAGTCCATACAAACAATGAAGAAAATTTCACCAGCTAAGCAACAAGAAATTCTCACCCTGTGAGATCAAAGCGACAGTCATTTCCTTTTCCTTCCTTTTTATTTACTTTTATTTCTGAACACTTATAATCTTCATGACTGTAGCCTAATAGTCCTTTTGCATAGCATTTTTTAAATAACATTTTCTTTTCCCTGATGATTTAAAAGCAAATAAAAACAAAATTAAATATGTCTTTGTGTGTGTGTGTGTGTGTGTGTGTGAGAGAGAGAGAGAGAGAGAGAGGTATTTTAGATAGGGTCTTGGAGTGACATGTTCCTCCTACCCTGCCTCAGCCTCCCAAGTGGCTGGGCCTGCAGGTGGGTACCACCACGCCCAGCCTCTTGGAGTGGGCTGGGAATCAAACCCAGGCCTTGCATACGGCCTCAGCTTGCAAAGCAGCAGCTTCGTTACCCCACTGTGCTTCACTTGAAATAATAATAATTACTATTACAAAGTCAGTAAAAGAGCTGAAGTCATACATAATTGTATTACCCAGCAGCAACTACAGTGAACATTTTGTTAATTTCTCCCTAATTGTCTTTATTGTATAAATATGTACATGGATATTTTGAACTAAATTTTGTTGAGTTTATGATAGTATACACTCAGCTTTGTCTTTCTTTTTTCTTTCTTTCTTTTCTTTTCTTTGTCTTTTTCTTTTTAATAGTTTGCTATAGGGCATGCACACTCAGAGAGAGAGAGATAAGGAAACTAAGCAATCTCCCCCAGGGGGTATGGTCATGCTGCAGTCCCTCCTCTATTCTCCTCTGAAGATTTTGGGCACTGAGGCCAGCAGTTGGCATAATGGTTAAGGTGCTAGACTTCTACATAGCCAATGGTGGTTCAAGTCTAGACCTGATAGCTTAAAACTCAAGCCAGGCGCATGTGTGTATGTGCCCAAAATCCCAAGAGAAGAATGGAGAGGGGATTGCAACTTTGCCCTCTTTCTATGGGGTGATTTCTCATTTTCTCTTCTTCTATCTTTCTGGCAAACACACGCACACTTTAGCAAAAAAAAAAAAAAGAGAGAGAAAAAAAATTGGGGCCCTGCTCGCACACACACCAAGTATGACTTTCAAGGCACCAGGTCCAAAACATGAACCATGATTAGCCTAATGGGATCCAGCTCCCTCAACCACCATGCCACCTGCTGGCCCATGTTTTTCTTTTCTTTCTTTTAAAAACAGGATTTCCAGCCTGCTGCCTTAACTTCCCAGCTTAAGTAGAGGCACACATCTTTATAGATGAGGTCTCATTGTGTTGCTCAAACCATCCTCAAGCCCATGATCCTCCTGGCTCAGCTTCTTCAAGTCTTGGGATCACAGAGCATGCCACTCTGCTCAGCCTCGAGATTGAACCTGGAATTAAATCCAGGCCTTCCATGTTGTCCCAGTTTACAGAGCAATTGTCTTAGCAGCACATACCACACACCTGGGTCTGTTCTTTTAATGAATACACTTTTGAGTGTTTTACCATATTATCAAGAACTTTTACATGGTTTTAATGGCTATGTTAGAGTCCTGTTGTATGGATATTATTATTTTTATATTATCCTGTTGTTGGGGGGGGTCATGGGGGTTTCTGAATCGATGCTTCCATTCTCAGCTCAGAATTTGTTTAGCTTCTAATTTTGCAGGTCTGGAGTTACAAGTTAAGCAGAATGGAAATGGAGTATCTCTTATATATAATTCTTTTTTGCCTTTTTTTTTTCAGAAAGCATTTTCAAAAAGCAAGTGTTGGAGCAATGTTATTTTTCCAGTTTTTTTTGTTTCTTTTTCATTTATTTTAAATTTTGTAATTATAAGTCTCGTGGTACTAATCTTAAGGAAGTTTTAAATAGAAAATCACTATAAAGTTAAAAATATGTTGCTGAACACAGACTCTGATTCACAGTTGTGTGCCATACTGCGTTATTTGTGGTTTATCCAATAAATCAGTGGGAGGTCATGAAGATAATATGCTTTAAGAGGGTAATTGCCTGGGAGCCAGATGGTAGTGTAGTAGTAATACAACTAGACTCACACAAGAAAGCTCCTAGGTTTGCATCCCAGAACCTCCTTGAGCATCCTGGTCATGTGCACATGTGCTCATGGTATAGACTAGCTGAGACTGGGGGTGTGAAGAACCTCTTAGGAGTATTTGTCTCTTAGTCTCTCTTTCTCTCTCATGGAAAAAAATCTTTCTTTCTTTCTTTCTTTATTTTAAGAAAGAGGAAGACTGACTGGGTTGGATTTGTGTTTTACAAAGGAGATTACATGGAAAAAAGGCAGACATTAGAAAAACTTAAGATTTTCTCAAAAGAATTTCCATGAAGTTAGTCTTTTTAAAACAGTGAGCATTTGTTTCTAGAATTGCTTTGAAACTGCAATTAGGTAAATGAAACAGCTTAACCCATATGTGGAAAGGGGAATAAGCTTAAAAATATAAATATGGGGTTGTCGGAAAAGTCATGACGTATTTTTCCATTTTTCTGTGCAAAAGGTCATAGAGCGGTACAGAGCAATAGATAGTGGGAGGCCATTTCTATTTGAAGACCACTTTCCTAACGTAGCCCCATTTCTAGAGGACCAGTTTTGGTTCTTCAGCTTTGTTTCCCAGTAAGGCTTTTAGGCTGGGAAACCTTCTTTTGGGGCCCATCCACTGGGCGCATCCTCAGTGTGTTGTCGCGATACTGCGTGGCCAGCCTTGTGTGGGCACCACCTGGATCCGCAGTGTCTCCCTCATTCTATCTGCCTTCTGCATTAGCGGTCATCTTTGTAAGCACAAGCCTAAGATTTAGTGCTGTACATATTTTTTTAATGATCCATTTTGATGGGACTCTCTTTATTGTTTCAGGTTGAATGCATTTGGAAACTTGATGCATAAAATTTGCATGCCTCCTCACCCGTTTCTGGACCTGTCACTGGATTCAAGCCAGCATGGCCCACACCACAAAGGTTAACGGCTGTGTCTCAGGTAACTGTGCTCTAGGCGTGTGTGCTTGTGTTCAATGTATGTCTTCGCTCAAACTAATTTTTTCATTTCTCAGACTAATAGTAGGTAACAGCAAGGTGCCTAGGATACTAGGATTTCAAAGCAATTTTCTATCCATTGAAGTTTTGTTGTTTTATCTCTTGGAAAGTTCGCTTTAATCTTAGAGTCTCTCTGTTCTGAAATCATTAGGTAAATTATTACTTAAGTCAATTCCATTGAAGTGTCGAAAGATAAATGTAAAATCCTGAATGCTGATGCATCTGTGAGAGACTGAGGAGAGAAGGAATAAGTTTAAGTGCATAAAACCAATTCCTAGTATCCACTCCCAAGAAGCTTTCATTTGATGTTGGTAAACCAAGAGAAAAGGAGGAGGAGAAGGGGACATTCTGTAAAGTGACTTTCCCAGAGAGGAATATGCAATAAGCCATATAATAGATCATAAAGGCCTGGGACTCCAACCCTGCCTCGGTTATGTGCTAAACTAGTATCTATGCTAATATTGCTTTGGAAGACGGCGTAGAAATTTGTAGAACAAGCGCAGAGAAAATCTTCCTAAGAAGTAGTACATGACCAGAAACAGCATGCCAATTTTTCATTTCTCTTTTGAGCTATCTGCCAAATGGCCTAATGAGTGAGAGCAGTAATCATCCATGTGGGAATGCTTTCTGAATGCCTGAGTTCAGGGCCCTAGGTCTGCTGGCTCTGGGCACCCTCAAATGGCAACCTCATTTGGGTAGTGTGGAACTGGAGCCAGGAGGCCTGAATTAGAGTCCTGGTTCCAGAACAAACTGAAATGATCAGGTCTTTTTCTCCACGTGTGTAGTAAGACATCGGTAAGTATATCCATCTACAGGGTTAGGGCCAGTGAGAGCACAAGAAACGTAGTCCAGGTCTTGTTCAGCTGTAAAGCAGTTTTAAAGACAGTAGCAGAGGACACCTCTGAAGACGGCATTTCCGGCCGTGGTCAAGACTTTGTGTTCAAGCAGTCCTAGGTCTTCCCCGCCAGCAAGAACCTTACAGCTTGCCCAAACCCAGGTAAACTCAGTTGATTATTCTAGGCTGACTGATTTTTTTCCTGTCCATTTTTCTGTTTGTCTTTTCTGCTGACCAACTTCTCTGGACTTTTATAGATCCTGCTCAGGGACTGCTGTCAAAAATAAAAGTGCAAATAACAATGCTTTCACGTTCATTGAACACTGTGCAGCATGGTGCCTGGAATGCTTTGCCTGCATGATCATACGTAATCCTCCCAATAATTGTATGAGGTGGTGCTGTCACCATCATTACCTTTATCATGCCATGTCATGACACAGAGAAGTCGGACTTACTTAAGCAAAGGAAGAAAATTCAGGATTTTGTACTTGTTACTCTGGTAAGGTATTTGATAAGGGAGAAGACTGAGCACTGGGGAACGCTGAAGGTAGTGTGTAGGTTTTAAGGCCCTCTGATGCTGTGGTTTCCTTCCCTCTCCTCTACTAGCATCCATTCACAAACTCAGCAGAAGGGGAACTTGTGGCCCTTGGTGTTGCAGGACCTTGACCCACTGGGGGTCTAGCCAAATCCTGTCCTCAGGGGTTTAGATACCTGCCCCGTTTGCCCTTTGCTCCATTTCCAGCTTGCTTTGCCCTGTACTTCCTTTTTCCTTTCTCATAAGGTCTGCTGATCCAGCTACAGCTTTCCCTCCTCACCAGTGCCCTGCTTAACACCCCTGAGAATTGAGTTTGAAAGCAAAAGGAAGCACTCTGATGGGTCAGAGTGTGAACTGGTCACTACAGACATGGGTCTGAACTGGGCTGGGGAAGGTTTATGCTTCTTCTAGTCACCATGACCTCTGTAAGCAAATCTGATTAGAGCTCCGTCATTTATGTTTAAATAATTATTGATGTGTAAATCATAACTATACATATTCATATACAATACACACACATAAATACTTTCTTTTTTTTCTTTTTTTTTTTTTTTTTTTGAGAGGTTTCTGCTATAGGGCACATGCACTCGCCAGAAAGACAGAGAGAGACAGAGAGACAGAAAGTGAGAAATCACCCCCCCCCCAGGAAGGATGGCCACGCCGCAGTCCCTTCTCCTCCATGCTCATCTCGGGATTTTGAACATGCACGCGCACGCGCACATGCCCGGCATGAGTTTAAGCCACCGGGTCCGGGATGCAAACCGCATTCAACTACATGGGAGTCCAGTGACATAGCCATTACGCTAACTGCTGATTCCATAAATACCTACATATATGTGAGTTATTAATACATACTTTGTGCATCATATATCTGATGCTCATTATACAAAATTTATAAATATACATGACGTATTTTCTAGAAAAATAAAATGAGAATTACAGATAATGCTACTATCTAAAAATAAATATTTCCCTCTTTTCAATATAGTCTTTAAAATTTTTATATTTCATATAAGAATATGCCTGTAAAAATTGTTCTTTTAATCTTTTTCAACTTCGAGGTTTTTTCTTCTCAAGAAATTTTTGCTACAGGATGTGTGTGCTTGCCGGAGAGACAGAGAAAGTGAGAAACCATTCTCCAGGGGATGGCCATAACACAGTTCCTTCTCTTCCATTCTCCTCTCAGAATTTTGGGCACACATGCACATGCACCCAGTATGAGTTTTAGGCTGCTAGATCTGAGACTCAAACCGTGGTTGGCCATTGGGAGTCCAGTGCCTTAACCAGTATGCAACCTGCTGGCCTCTTTTCCCACTTTGTGTTACAAAAGAAATAGCTACTCTGGACCAGCAGTTAGCATAATGGCTATGTTGCTGGACTCCCATGTAGTTGACTGTGGTTCAAGTCCCGGACCCAGTCGCTTAAACTCACGCCGGGCATGTGTGCATGCATGCACACGATCCCAAGAGGAGAAAGGAGGAGAAGGGATTGTGGCGTAGCCATTCCCCCAGGAGGTGATTTTTCACCTTCTATCTCTCTGTCTTGCTCTGTCTTTCTGGCGAGCACATGCACCCTATAGCAAAAACCTCTCAAAAAAGAAAGAAAAAAAAAGGGTTTGATTTTTTTTTTTTTTTTTTTTTTTCAGAATTCATTACAGGGGCCAGCAGGTGGTACGGTGATTAAGGCACCGAATTCCCACACGGCCAACCACAGTTCAAATCTCAGATTCAGCAGCTTGAAAATCACACCAGGTGTGTGTCCTCAATATCCTAGGAGGCGAATAGAGAAAAAGGGACTGCAGCATGGCCATAACCCCTAGGGGGTGATATCTCACTTTCTCTCTCACTGTCTCTGTTTCTCTGGCAACTGCATGCACCCTATGGCAAAAACCTAAAAAATAAATAAATAAACTTAAAAAAAAAACCCAGTAAATACAAAAGTGTATACTGGTCATAAATAATCTATTTTGAAATGTAAATAACGTAACTATTTACAGACTCCAGATGAACGTGGATAAATAGAGCTAGATGGCAGCTATGTTCTTCCCTATGAGAAACGGTAAGTTCCCAGGTTGGTTAGTAGGAGTTTTGTCTTGAGAGGACATATGCACTCCCCAGAGGGAGACAGAGAAAGAGGAATAGGGAGAAAGCACCCCGCAGTGGGGTGTGGTCACACCTCAGTTCCTTCCCCTCCATGTTCCCATCCTACGGAACTGTTGGGCACATGCACATACACACTTGGCCTGTTTCTCAAGCCCCCAGGGCAGGATTGGAACCATGTGGGATCCAGCCCTCATAACCACTAGACTAAGGGGCTGGCCCTAGCAGGAGTTTTAAATGTGGAGTAAATGAAATATATATAAATATTATATAGATATATATATCCCTAGATATGTTGTTCTCGGAAGGGTCTCCCCAGCTCATGTCCTGAAACTCACGGGTTTTGGCTCCATGGAGCATAAGGAGAAATCTCACGTGAAGGTGGAATCAGGGAAATGCCAAAGAAATACTTTTCATGTTGCTGAGAATCAAAAGAAGAATAGCCAGGAAATACGTACAAGGCCAGACTGTGCCCTCAAGCTGCAAAATACACCTGACATCTCACAGTGCCGTCTCTACTTAGGCTTTGAATGAGGCCCATTCACCGTCCTGTTACACTGTTACACCTGTCTTTCCACTCAGTCTGTCATTAGATGGGGTTAAAGGTACTGATTTTAAAGTAAGAGCAGTTAGTTACTGTTGTGATTTCTAAAATGTATTCCGATCCATGTCAGACACACACGACGTGAAAAGATGATACAACAAGCCACTGTGTATGTGCCACCTTGCTTATTATGAAACAGATTTGGGATCAGCAGATGACTGGACTTGAGCATAGTCGACTGTGGGTCACGTTCTGGACCCGGTGGCTTAGAAAATCTCATGCCAGGTACATGTGTGTGCGAGAGGAGAACAGAAGAGAAGGGATTGTGGTGTGGCCATCACCCCAGGGGGTGATTTCTCATTCTCTCTCTCTCTCTCTCTCTCTCTCTGTCTTTCTCTCTCTCTGTCTCTCTGGTGAGCGCATGCGCCCTATAGCAGAAATCTCTCTTTTAAAAAAAGAAGAAAGAAAGAAGCAAACTTAATTAACACATGGCAAATATTTTTTAATAATTATTTTATTTAACTTTATTTATTATTATTGTCATTATTATTTTCCAGCTTGATCAGAGAGAGAGAGAGAGAGAGGAAGTGAGAAAGCAAGCCACCAGGTCCGAGACATGAACCGTGGTCGGTCATGTGGGAGTCCAGCACCTCTAACCACCATGCCACTTGCTGGCCCCAACACATGGCAAATATTAATGTGTACCTACTATGTGCTGGGCACTGTTTCGGGTACTGCAGATACAGCAGTGAACAAAGTAGGCAAAAATCGCTGCCCACAAGTGTTGTGCCTTCTAGTGGAAGTTGGGGCCTTTTGGTGTGGGGTTACCAGATCAAGTAGAGGATCCTGGGGTTTTCAAGAGGTTAGTGGAAGTGTGTATTAGTAAAAACCTGCATTGTCTTTTGTTACTGTAATGAGATGGAGCTTCATA